AGTTTGAGGACTATGGTGTGCCTGACCCAAGCCATGATATATTTCAGACATATTATCAGGAGGGACTAGTCCCTGGAGAAGTACATCATACTTGGTAGAGGGGACTGTCAGGAAAAAATAGGCAGACCCTCAATGAGATGGATTGGCACAGTGACAGCAGCAATGAGCTCAAGCATAATAAAGACTGTGAAGATTGTGCAGGACTAGAAAGTGTTTTGTTCTGTTGTGAGAGGGAACTGATTTGACGATACCTAACAACAACAACAGGAATCCTGGTGTGATGCTGTGGGCTAATGTGTCACACTGCAAAGTCATTTGAACTACAAGATCGGTGGTTCAAGTTCACCAACCACTCCTTGGAAACTCTATACAGGGTTGCTATGGATCAGAAACAACTCAAGAGCACTTAACAATAACAACAACAGGAGCCCTGGTGTGGCGCTATGGGTTAATGCACCACACTGCAAAGCCATTTGAACTGCAAGGTCGGCAGTTTAAGCTCACCAGCTGCTCCTTGGAAACCCCCTACAGGGATGCTATGGGTCAGAACCAATTTGACAGCACTTAACAACAACATCATGTCCATATTGCCCTTTATCAATCACTATGACACAGCTTATGTTACTGGGAGGTACATTATGCAATAAGCTTTCATAATTGACAACTTTTTCTAGAACTACAATAGTTAATTGAAATAACACAAGAGAAACCCAACTAAATAATTTAAATGTAAATAGAATGTGAAAAAATATATATAGAGAGAGAGTATGGAATACACAGAAATCAAATTGACTACATCTGCAGAAGGAGAAGATGGAAAAGCTCCATATCATCAGTCAAAACAAGGCCAGCGGCAAACTGTGAAAAGACCATCAATTACTCATATGCAAATTCAAACCGAAGCTGAAGAAACTGAAAACAAGTCCACAAGAGCCAAAACATGGCATTGACTATATCCCATCTGAATTTAGAGATCTGAAGAACAAATTTGATGCATTAAACACTAAAGACCGAAGACCAGAAGAGTTGTGGGATGACAGCAAGAACATCATACATGAAGAAAGCAAAAAGTCATTGAGAAGACAAAGAAGAAAAAGGTCAAAATGGATGTCAGAAGAGACACTTAAACTTGCTCTCCAGCATAGAGATGCTAAAGCAAATGGAAGAAATTACAAGGTCCAAGAGCTGAACAGAAAATTTCAAAAATCAACTCAAAAAGATAAAGCCAAATATTACAACAAAATGTACAATGATCTGGATCAGAAAACCAAAATGGAAGAACATGCTGAACATTTCTCAAGTGGGGGAACTGAACAAAAAATTCAAGCCTCGGCTTTAGTTATTGAAAGATCCTCTGGGCAAATTATTGAATGATGCAGAAAGCATCAAGAGAAGATGCAAGGAATACAGAGTCACTGTAACAAAAGGAAATAGTTCATGTTCAACCATTTCAAGAGGTAGCATATGATCAAGAGCCAATGATACTGAAGGAGGAAGTCCAAGGTGCCTTGAAGGACTTGACAAAGAACAAGGCACCAGGAATTGATGGAATAAAAATTGAAATCTTTCAAGAAAGTGAGGCAGCACAGGAGGCACTCACTCATCTCTGCCA